AGACCCATCCGGGACTGCATACCTCCAACTGCCATACGAAAGCTCGCATTACGAGGTTTTTTTGCAGTGAGATGACTGAAACTAACCTCCTTTGCCACATCAGGGGAGGAAGGTATTAGTCCGTGCTCCAGTGCACCAGGCTCAAGAACCAACTCCGGAGGAAGTTGCATTGAGGGGCTCACCTATTCCACACCTGGATTGCATGCCTGCCATCTGTAGCCTTGCTTCTGAAGAGCCCCCCCCCCGAGAATGCAACCCACACTGAGCAGCAGACAGCAAACGGCAATAGCGGCTTCCTTCAGAACGGCCAAGTGCTGCCTTTCTGGAACACGGCGGCCCGGCCTATCGGTAGGTATAGCAACCTGGTCGCTTTCTCTTTCTGGTCACCCACCAAATCCCCTCTGTGGCAGTCCACCCACAAACATGCCTGTTACAAAACAGTCATTGGTTAAAAAAACCCAACAACAAACCCCACGGGTGTCGTTAACCGGGGAGGGGGGGAGAGGCTTAAGCCCCCTCGACTCTATTCCTGCTGCGTGTGAAGACGTGTGCACAGACACAGGGGTGTAGGTACACAGGTGCTTTACATGCACACGCATCGACAGGACGTAGTGGCCTCAGTCGTGCTCCGGCAACTGTGGCTTGCCAGGTGCCCCCCCCCAAGTGTGGCTAACCCATCGGTCACACGCAACAGCAAGAAAAGGGGGGGGGGAAGGAAGCATTACACGGACGGAAGTTCATCAGCCAAAAAGATCAGGGAGTCCTGCCCACAGCTAACTCGACGCAGAACACCCCTTCGATCTCTGCCTGGAGATCTAGCTGCCCGGAGATCAGAAGGGGTGGTAGGAGATTCGTTCAGAAACTTCAGACCTCCCTCCTGACCCGTTGTGGTTTTTCTCTCTGCCACCCCTCTCAACATCGGAGAGGGAGCTTGAGCACCATGCTTATTGGGGGAGTGGAACACAGGCGGTAAAACAGTACATGAGGACACAATTACCCTTTTACCCTTCTTGCCAGCACTGAGTGCTCAGGAGAGTTCGCGCACGGCGGAAAGAGGTGGCAAAGGGGCCTGTCACAAGTTAGGCTGCAGGAGGAGGACCGTACTTTAAGCCGCACTAGATGACGTATCCCCTGCAAGTAGACCGGCCCAGCAGGTAGTAGGCTGGCTAGAGCCTCTCTCCTTGATGTGCCGTTTTTACAAGCAGAGTGACTTTGTTTTTCAACGTGAGTGAATGTTTTGTTTTGTTTTGAAATGGCAGCCAATCGGTACAGTCCCTGTTACCAGCTCAAGACTTTTATCAACGTGTTCTGCTGCACGTGTGGATCAGGCCTAACTTGGTCCATCAAGGTAGATAGGAATCTGTACACTTCGCGAATGCCTGGTTGGTACGAGGTGCATTTTAGACAAAGCGTCTCCGTGACGGCTTTGGCTAAGAGAGGGGGCTGGAACACTCCAAGCTCCCTACCAAAGCCTACTGAGATGCGCAAGTAAACACAATTGTGTTCTAGATCTGGAAAAGTTGGACACACATCCATGCAGTATGGAAAAACTAACCTGTCCTGCCACCCTTTCCTAATCTGGAAGGCAGCAATGTTGGGGCACCTTAAAAAAAGCTTTTCTACTGGCCTGAAGTGAGTAGGCAGAATCATTACTCTGTATGTGTGTGTGTCCTGCACAAGCCCTAGCCACTCCCACCAGCGTACTATGGGTGGCTGTTTGGAGGGCCAAGAGCAGAGGTTCCACTTCTGAAAATGGCCCTTTGGAGGGCCTTTCAGGGTTTTGTTTGGAATCTTTTAAAGTGCTCCCTGTAATAGAAACCAAGGAAAGATGCCCTCCCCCCTCCATGCCCTGCAGTGGAAGGGGGATTTCTGCAAGACGGCAGCTGGTAATGCTAGCGGGTGCTTAGCATTTATCATCTGTGTTTTTTAAAAAAAACAACCTACTGACTTTTGAAATGCACTTTTGGAAAACGAAAAGCCATTTCCTATGAATGGATCGGTCTTTGGGCCTTCAGAATACACTTGAGTGGTCACCCATGCAGAAAAGTGATCCTTTCCTTGCAATCCGCAAGCTGTTTGAAGAAAAAGCTGCGTTCTGAAATGCACCTGAATTTCTGCTCCCCCTTGGCTCTCGGTATTCCATTAGCAATGATTTTCCCCCCTCCCCAAAACTTCAGGAGTTTTTGAAAGAAAATAAAAATAAAGTGTTCACAGTGGTATAACCCAACGATTTACACAGACGGTACTGAGGAAATCCCACGCCGAGATGCGGCTTCTGGAATGAGGATTTGGGATGGAGTGAAGAGGAATTCTCCCCTGCCGACAAGGAGACTTTTCGAGGCGATGCTTGGAATCCGCGGGAGAGTGCTGGAGGTTTCCAGACACTGGGATGAGTTTGGGGAGCCAGGAGGTGGGGTTTGGGGAGCCAGGAGGTGGCCTCGAGCAAAGTGCACCTTCCGGAGTGTTCTGTCCTGGGAGCAGATCCGCAGTGCGCGTGGCAGGGAAGAGGCCTCAGGAGCCCCTGCCTGGAATGTCGCGTGAAGAGAAAGAAGTCGAAGACGAGCGGTCGGCCATCCAACGTCACTGTGGTTGCGGGAGGGGACCATTTCCAGCAGGTCTACCCTGGCCTTTTCACATTTAATGGGTTTCGATTACCACTGGCTCGTAAACTCCAGATGAGACCCTGCGTGAGTAATTAAAAAAGAAGTGGGGGGGGGAGAGGAGGAGACAATCATTTTGTGCTTGCGGCTCCCACTCTGAAGAGCATCAACGCAACACTAAAATTGAGACTATAAACCAATCTATTAAAAATAACTAACCTGGACTGAAATCAAACCTAAGAAAGGTTTTTTTTGGGGGGGGGTGGGGAGGGAAGAAGAGGGGAGAGGAAGAAAAGAAGGAGACAAACAAACAAACACTGCTTTAATAGAATGTATTTTTTTGTTAGATTAGAAGGGTGTTAACATGCTGGCAACTATAGGATTGTGCACAGTGAAAGAGCCGTAGAATCACAGAGTTGGAAGGGGCCTTAGAGGCCATATAGTCCAACCCCCTTGCTCAATGCAGGATCAGCCTAGAGCACCCCTGACAAGTGTTTGTCCAGCTGCTGGTAAAAGACTGCCAGGGAGGGGGGAGCTCACCACCTCCCCAGGCAGCTGATTCCACTCTTGCGCAACTCTGACTGTAAAAACGTTTTTCCTGATATCCAGCCGGTACCTTCCCACCCTGAATTTAAACCCATTACCGCGAGTCCTCTCCTTTGCTGCCCCTGCCCTCCTCTAAGTGAGCCAGAGGCCTACAGAATTGTGCCGCAGCATCACTTTCACCTCACCGTCGCCTGACCCCTCATCTTCTCCCTGCTCCTCAATCTTTCCCATGTATTGCCCAAGTCTCCTCCCTACGCGCTCTGGGTTAGAACACCCGAAGTTCTGGGTTGGTGCAACCCTGCCACGTGGAATAACGGCGGGAGCATCTTCACTATGGACTTGGCCCAGGCTCACGCTTTGGAAGGCATCTGCCGGTACCTGTTAGCAAGCTGAATCCCGCTCAGCGTCGTCGTGCCGTCTCTGCTCACAAACAGCCGCAGGTTGCTATCTGTAAAGAAACGGGAGAGAGAGGCTGAGGAACAGAACCAGAGAACAAGCATCCCCCGGGAAGCCCTCCCCCCAGGCTACCTGACACTGTGCTGAGCGCAGAGAAATAGTCTCACTTTAGCCTGCACAGGTACAAAACAATAAGCAGTGTCGCTTCAAGCCACAATGCCGCTGCCACCAGCACATTTTAGGAAGTACCACTGAGGCAAGGTAAAATGCCCCAAGAGAAGAGCAAGAGAGTACCAGGGAGAAAAAGGGAAGGAGGAAATGTGATGCTTGACTGGTTAGTGGTTAGAGAGGACAGGAATCTACTGGAGGGCAACGTTCCCTCTAAGCTGAGTTAGTGTGAGTTAGCTCACCATTTTTTAGCCTCCAGCTCACACATTTTTGTCTTATAGCTCACAGAAACAGAAGCTACAAGGTGGGAGCGACTCACTGAAAAGCAGCAATGAACCCTGGCACAAAGAGAAATTTAGGTTGGCAGTTAAAACTATTCTATTACAATTTCACCAAAAAAACAACCTTTCACAAACTGTCACCCAGTTAGCGCTTGTGATGATGAAGCTGGTTTGTTGGAACTGGGCTATGGAGTCAGGATCATTTCACACTGCACCAAATTGGCTTTAATAATGACTTCCTGGAAAAGACTTTAACAATATCTGGCCTGAAAATTTGAATTCAAGGGTACATAGACGCACAATAGAAGTCCTTCTAGATGCAGCCAAAACAGCAATAGCATTGTACTGGAAGGAGAAAGAGGCACCCTCAGTAGAAATATGGTATAAGAAACTTTGGACTCATTACTTAATGGATGCAGTCTCCAACAAACTAAATTGCATGTCACAAAACCCAATAAAGTCTAATTTCATAGAGAAATGGTACCCAGTGCTAGATTATCTGTCACAAAAACAATTTATCTCATCTGATTGGTCTCAATATCACAAATGGATATAAGATTAATGCAATGTCCAGTTCCGCAAATTCTCATACTTACTTACTTATATCATCTCCACTAGCTCTAATATTTCCTTTTCTTTCTTCTCTTTCTTACCGCTCCAATAGTTCGGGATGCTTCCTAATGTTCCTATCAAGTTTACGCTAAGTCTGTTATCTTTCTACTGAAATCATATTCGGAAGTGTGTTGAGTAATGTATTGTAATTCTTTGAACATGTTATAACGTTGTACATACGCAGGAACTATTTACAGGATGTGAATGTAATTGGAAAATTAATTGTTCACTGTTTGAAGTGTTAGAATTGTTAAAAATTGAAAAAATAAATTAAAAAAAAAAAAAGCTACGTGAAAATTCTAGCAGAATATAGGATGAATTATAGTCCAGGTGAAACAGACAGATGAAATTTAAGTTGACCAGGAGCATATGTAATGAGAAATACTAATGGATATATACGATAGAGAGAAGGTAGAAATCAAGTAATTAATTAAACAATTTGATCAATGGAAAGATATCAGTTACAGTAAAGATTTGGGGTATCTTGGTGGTGGGTGTTATGTGTGTATTTGTCTTGTAAGTTTGAAAAACCTAATAAAGATATATTATAAATAAAGGAAGGATGGCTCCAGAGCAATGTTCCCTCTGAGCTGAGTTAGGGTGAGCTAGCGCACAGTTTTTTAGCCTGCAGCTCACACATTTTTATCTTAGCTCAGGAAGGATGGCTCCAGAGCAAACTAGCTTATGCAGTAGCCAAACTGCTTGGTCACAACTTTAATGCCAGTAGCTCACAAAGTAGAATTTTTGCTCACAAGACTCAACAGCTTAGAGGGAACATTGCTCCAGAGCAAACTAATTTATTCAGTAGCCAACTGGCTCACAAAGTAGAATTCTTGCTCACAAGACTTTACAGCTTAGAGGGAGCATTGCTGGAGGGACACTGATACGTGGAAACTGGACAAGCCCCCCACTTGAGAGAGAGAAACGTGCCCATGGAGGCTGAATTTGAGGGGCTACCATCACCTACGTAACCACCATAAATTTATCCCTAAAACTGGGCACACACAGACCCAACATATACTGGGGGCAATGTTCTGTGCTGGAGTACAATCAGGTAGCTAGACTTACATTCTTAAGTATTAATATCACAATTGCTCCACAAGGGAGAGCCAAAGAGGCTTACAATACAAAAAACACAATGTAAAGAAACAAGCGGGAGAACGTTTTTTTAAAAGGGGGGGCTTCTGACTGCAAAGGAGGCATTTCTCTCTGCCAGCAGATCTTCCTCCAAGCTCTGGGCTGTGGCCCTCAGGTCAAGAGCCCTTTGGCTCATTCCTCTGGGCCAACACAGGCTAGCAAAGGTTACCTGCAATAAAGGGGTGGGGCAGAGACTCAGCGACGAGGGCTGGCAGCAGCTGGCTGGCATTCCGAATTGGTTGCATCAAGACACCAATGGCATGGTGTCTTCTGTGAGCACAGATGGTTTTGCTGTTGTGCCACATTTGGCTACTTGCCCCATCATGCATCTTGTGACCCTTAAGGCCAACCAAAAGCACCCCTGACTCCTCAGACCACCAGGTTCAATCGGCAAAAGAGCCACAAAAGGCCCATCAGCTCAAACCTTCTGCACACTCATACAGCGCATGTTTTCCAGAAGGGATATAAAGTTTTTCTCTTGGTTGGGCTGGCTTTTCAACATCTGTGGTAAATGTCTAGTAAACTGTCATTCTGCGGTAAATTTGATTTTGACATATGAGAAGAAGGCATTTTAATATCTATGTTAAGCATTTGTGTCCTGCACCAGTCACCAACTTGGTTCTCAGGGCAGCTTATGATAAGAAGAAGAAGAAGAGAAGAGACTGGATTTATACCCCAGCCTTCACTACCCAAAGGTGTCTCAGAGTGGCTTACAAACTCCTTTCCCTCCCCCTCCCCACAACAGACACCCTGTGAGGTAGGTAGGGCTGAGAGAGCTCTGATAGAAACTGCTCTTTTTCAAGGACAGCTTTTGTCAGAACTACGGCTAGGTCATCCAGCCAGCTGCAAGTGGAGGAGTGGGGAATCAAACCTGGTTCTCCCAGATTAGAGTCCGTGCACTTAACCACTACACCAAACTGGCTCCCAAGTTCAAGGGAAGTTCAAGGGATGATAAAAACAAAACTAACCAAGCTTAATCAATATCAACCACCAGCACCCCCCCCTCCAAATCTATAAATTTGTTAAGCGGGGAGGGGAAAGGAGTTTGTAAGCCACTCTGAGACTCCTTTGGGTAGTGAAGGGTGGGGTATAAATCCAATCTCTTCTCTTCATATAATAAGAGCAGACTGCATAAGGTATCTGGGAACCAGAGAATCCAGCAGCATACAATATGCAATATAAATATATATATAATCTAGTAAGAAGGCACAAAAGACAATTGACAAGGACTTTCTGGCATAGGACTAGGGGTGTGCAAAAAAAAAAAAATCCACCTGATTTGGATTCGGCCAAATGGGGTAGAAAGACTCCTGCATGTCAATTTCGGCAGTACCAGGATTGGGGAGTCTTTTGCAGGCCGAATGTCAATTTCGGCCCCGTTATATCCTATGGGCCACTGAAGTCAATGGCGAAAACATAGGGTATATTCTGGGGGCTGGAGGGGAGGGGGTTTGAAGGAGAGGCACCAAACTCACAGGGTAGCTGCTGGAGTTTCTCCCCAAGATACCCAGCAAGTTTCAAGAACATTGGACCAGGGGGTCCAATTCTACGGGCCCCCAAACAGGTTGCCCTCATCCTCTCCACTGTTCTCTGTGGTGGGAAAAAAGTAACCGAATGCACATCCCTACATGGGACACAATGGTGGCCTTGGGCTTCACTTTTGAACAGGGGCTGGACAAGTTAATGGAGAACAGCTTTAAGAGCCACCAATCAGAATATTGAAACAGAGCCTCCATATTCACAAGCAGTACGATTCTGAACGCCCTCCCCAGAAACTGGTTTACAGAGGAGGGAATTTTCCTTCACGCCCCTCTCTGGGTTTCCCAGAAACATCTGGCCAGCCACCGTTCAGAAACAAGAGGGAAGAGATGGACCGCTGGCCTGATGTGTGTTAAAGTGAATCTGATATTCTTCGTAAGCTGCCTTTCCAGCTTTTCCACGTGATACCTGTGGAAAATCGGATGCTTCCACGAAGCCACCGGCAGGTCATGATGGTGCTGCCTTTCCCTCATTAGTGTCCTCAGCAACTGGCACTCGAATTATCCTCCAAGGATTGAGTTGTCCAGGCACACCCCTGCCTGGCCTTCCTGGGAGCCACTTTGGGGGGACCCAGCACCCCGCGAACCCCCCGAAATCCTCCAAGAAATACCTGCTGGCCTTCCGTGCAGCATCCCCACCCTGCCTGGCAGCGCCCCGAAGACACCAGGCAACCCACCTGGAGAGACGGCAGTGAGCGCCTCTTTGAGAAAGGCCCTGATGCCAGGCGTGGTGGCAGAACGGGAGGATGGGGAAGAACAAGTGTCACGGCTCCTGCTGACTATGAGCAAGTGGCTCCCGCAGAGTGCGAACAAACGGCCCCAGCAGAGGATCTAAGTGCTGCTGGGGATGAGCTCCCAATGCCGGAAACTCCCGCACCTGACAGGGCTGAGCTTCCAGAGGCTACCCCAGCAACAGCTGAGGAAGAAGCATGCCCGGACAGTTCTCCTCCTGCTTCGCCTCCACTGGTATCCCGCTTGAGAGAACAGCGCCGACGGGATATGGCAACCTGGCGGCGAGAGGCACGCGTGCGTGGCAGGCGCTCATTCAGCCCCGAGTATTAGCAGGAGCCGGGACTCGCTTGGACTCTTTTGGACTCTGGTTGCCTGACGACTCTAACGGTTTGTGCTTTGAACTTGGTTTCCCGGTTGGTTTGCTTGCCTGGCTCTTTACTTTGGACTGTACCTTGACCACCCCGCTCTTGCTTTGTGTATTGGACTTGTTTTCCGGCTAACTGGTGTGACTGGCTCCTGACCTCGGACTATATCCTAACTGCCTCGCCCCTGCCTAGCCCCGCATCGTGACAAAAAGCACATGCAGCTCGGCAGGCCTCGCCAAGTCCTGGCCTTGTTGGGGAGGTGGCAGCGTGACCGTCAGCGTGCTGGGAGGTGAGCGGGCTGCAAGAGGGGGCTGGGATGATGAGACAGTCCTGCCCCATGGAGCCGTGGGCCTGACAGATGAGGAGGGCCGGCAGGGCAACCGACGGCTGGGTCGACTGGGCCCTCAAAAGGTCCCGGCATCTCAGTGTAAGTATGGGGGTGGGGAGGAGCACCCGGCAGGGATAAAGAGGGGCAAGGTCCAGCCGGTTGAGGAGGAGACGCCTGGTGGTACCGGCACGAGGACCAGCTAGAGAGAGAAGGGCGGCCAAGACCCCAAGAGGAGGGGGTGGTGACGACGTAACCTCCCTCCTCAGCTGAGACCTCTGGTGCCCCGGGGGGATGGTCAGTGGGCCGACGGAGCCGTGGCGACGGGCAGAAGTCCAGTGGGGGCAATCTCGAAGCCTGATGGTCACTTAGCTATCATGACTGATATCTTGTTTGTGGACGTCTCCCTCCTCCAAAAGTCTTCCTCGTGCCACTTTAATGCCAGGTAAACTAGCAGCTCAGCCCTTCATCTGGCGGTAAAAGCAGTTGTCAAACTAACGGGTGGCCCCCTCATTTAACTTTGCAAATGTGAAAAAGTAGATTTCCAGCACAAGAGTGCCCCCCTCCCAATAAAAGTGCAAATGCTTTAGAATGAAAACCCCCCAAAGAAAATGCACAGTTCTACTGCAGCCCCAAACAGGAAAATCCAGAGTAAATTAGACCTATAAAGCCAGCGTAAACAGATAACATCTCTAAAGCTGGCTTAAAAGGTCTAATCTTCTGAATCTGGCCAAACAGAGTGGGAAGCTGTTTCCAGAATGGTGGTGGGTGGGGTTGCTACCAAAAAAGCCTCTTCAGCAGTGGCTACCAACCAAATAGATGACAAAAAGACAGAGGCTGCTGTCACACACACTAAACAATCCACTTTCAGTCCACTTTCAATGCACTTTCCAACTGGATTTTTACTGTGTGAACTGGCAAAATCCAATTCAAAAGTCCATCGAAAGAGGATTGAAAGTGGATTATTTAGCGTGTGTGACCACAGCCAGATACAGGCTTACAGGTGCCAGTTAGCTGCCCCTCCAGAGGGACGTTTTAAATCATGGCAGAGACCTTTAAGAGGCTCTCACTTAAACGACCCTTCTGTACTCTTCAAAGGCAGCTTTCAAACCAAGGAGGAAGAGCCTAATTGTACATCATTCTCATCTCACATAAGTCGGCTGGAAAGAGTCCCAGATCATAAAAAGCAGGGAAGGTGCACGTGAAAGACACTGCTCTTGTGATGCTGCCAGGATCCAAATGCTGAATCCCATGTGCTCTGGATGCAGAGTACCAATCCACAGGACCAGACCCTTCAACTGAAGGAACCTGGGAGTCCCCAAGGGACAGGGAACAGCTCCATTTTCAGGGGTGGTGGTGGTGGAAACAAACGAAACCTCACCTTCCATGTTGCTGACGTCTGTAAAGTCTTGACTCTGCATGATTTTCTCCACTATGTCGTCAGCATCAATCCTGGTGTCGTCCACCCATGTGGGATGACTCTCCACAGAATCCTTTTTCCTCCTGACAATGGAAGGAAGGACAGAAAAATGAACCACACACACTCTCGGCTGTCAAATGTCTCAATTTCTGCTAGGAAGGGCTGATAGTAACGGTACAGTGGTCACAGTACAGAGTTGCTTTTAACTCCCAGGTTTGTCGGTTCAGTTTTTGCATTCGAGTCTTTTTGTTTATTTGCACATTGTTGCTTGCCTTCCCAAAAAAAACCCCACTGATCACTACACATTTACCACCACAACAAAATCTAGCAACAGTTAAAATATATGCAAAACCCCAACTCCCAACCACTTACCACATCAGTAAAAAATTTTCTCTATCCCTCAGTGGTACATAAATTTATCCCATAACAGCCCTGCAGAAGAGAAGAGCTTTGCAGGCCCTTTGGCTCTACTTGCCAAATGGAGGGCACTGAAAGGGACTGGTGGCAGAGACTGAGATTTGTGCATGAGATTGTACTGGGAGAGGTAGTTCTGTAGGTATGTGGGCCCTAACTCACATGTTAAAAAGTAAGAAGCAGTACCTTAAATTGACCCCAGAAGCAAATAGACATGCACCTCTTCCAGAAATCAAAATATTTACGCTAGGTTAAAAGCGTGAGTCTGAGCAAATTCATAACCGCTTGGATCCCACATTCCTCTAGAGACTACATTCCAACTCAAGCACCATGCATTTTAGTATCTGTGAAACACTGGGGAGTTCATCATCAATTCAATTGCCCTTATTGGCATTGACACTAAATAGAGTAATATACAAAAGTTAAGGTAAGAACGAATACCAATCAAAGAGAGAGAAAAATGTTCTAAGATAGTCTAAAATCAATATAAAATAAGTCTCAATTTCATATCTCCTGAGTACAAGTTTTCATCATCGCTGTTTAGCAAATAAAGCAATTTATGTGAGTCAGGAAGCTCTATGATGCCACCAAATAGTGACAATAAAATGCGGTGTCGAATACTGGTATAGTAACGGCATTCCAATGACACGCGAGACACCGTTTCAACTGACCAGCTTGCACAGGGGCATAGTCTATTCACAAAAGGGATACCATTAAACCTCACACTGGGGAGTTGCTGGCAAGAGCAAATAAAAGGTAAAGGTAAAGGTTCCCTTGCTCGAAAGCCAGTCGAATCCGACTCTAGGGTTGCGGTGCTCATCTCCTTTTCAAAGCCGAAGAGCCAGCGCTGTCCGAAGACATTAAATCTTGACCATTTCTAATGGAAGAAGTAGGACTGCATCTCTAGGGAACGAATCAGTTCTACTTATTTCAGTCAAAACTGCTTGACCAAAGCAGATGCCCCCGCTGGGCAATACTACTACTACTACTACTACTACTACTAATAATAATAATAATAATAATAATATAATATACTTTATTGCCATTGTACATAGTACAACGAAATTAAAGGTGCAATCATTCAGTCATCTACAACCATACTCATACACTCACACAACCATTCACAACCATCCCATAACTCCCTTAAAGTTCACATTGCAACTTAAAACCACCAATGTCACCCAAACTGTAGCATTTAAAGCAATAATAGCTCTCGAATAAAAACTATTTTTTAATCTCTTTATCCTTGTTTTAATTGTCCTATATCTTCTACCCGAAGGCAGCAGTTCAAATAGGGAATGTTCAGGGTGTGACAAATCCTGAACTATACAATTCCTCCAGGAACGGGAGAGGGCAGCCAATAATCTTCTGGGCTGTGGTGATAACTCTCTGGAGTGCTTTCCTATCCACAGCCGTACAACTGGCAAACCAGGCACAGACGCAGTATGTTAAAATGCTCTCTATTGAGCAACGATAGAAGGACATCAGTATTTTCTCACTCAAGTTATTTTTCTCTAAAAGTCTGAGAAAAAAGGGCCTCTGCTGGGCCTTCTTCACCAGAGCAGTGGTGTTAGCGCTCCAGGTCAAGTTTTGCTCAATAATCACTCCCAAAAACTTAAAAGTAGCCACCCTCTCCACACGTTCTCCACCAATAAACAGTGTTCAATCGAACTGCTTACAAACATAACACAGATGGCAGGGCACTCCCTTAGAAGAGGCGCACCCCTTTGGTTTTACACAGGGAAGGAATGTCTCTGCACAAGATGCTCCATGCGAGGCTCTTCTAGCTGTTCACAATTCATCCCGGAGAACCCCACACTGTTAAAATTATGGTCATCAGGGATATGTACCATGCAGTGTTTAAGCTTCATACATTTGCCTGCCTATTTCAAAGCCAGTCCCATAAAGGAGGCAAAGAGGCCACAGCTCAATGGCAGAGTTCGTGCTTTGCAAATGAGAGGCCAGTCCCCTCACACCTCCAATGAAAAGGGGCTTGGGCAACTGAGCTGGGGAAGCAGGCGATGCTGAGCTGGATGGAACACTGTGGTACAAGGTAGCTTTGCGTGCAGAGCCAGTGTTCCCTCTAAGCTGAGTTAGTTTCTTAGCCTCCGGCTCGCACATTTTTGCCTCGGCTCAGGAAGGAGGGCTACAGAGCAAACTGATTAATGCAGCAGCCAAATCGCTCACTCACAACTTTAACGCCAGTCGCTCACAAAGTAGGATTTTTGCTGGCTTCCGGTCGGGGAAAAATGGCGATTTGACGCACCTTGAAAGTGCAGGGGGGAGACTGGCAAGCGTCAAGACCCAAGAGGGAGATGAAATTGGAGTGATTTAAGTCTCGGAGGAGGCTTGGAACACTCTTTGATCTCCTCCCACGAAGCGGGCGTCGCGATCAACACTAGAGGAGCCTACCGGGCTGTGTATATAGCATAAAGTTGCCATTCCCAATCTCAGTGACAGAAGGGAAAAGATCGAGAACAAAGGAAACAGCTCAAAAACCAGTATAAACAAAGAAGGTAACAAAAATTAAATTTACTTACCGGAGAGGACTGAAAAACGCTAGTTGAAGTAGCCGGATAATAGATTATGAACTTTATAACTGATTGAGTGAACTTGCTTGGTTCAGAAGTGGGAGATTTGTAGCAAATTTAAGCAAAAAGAACTTTGTTTTGCATTCCTGTGGTCTATGCTGAGATAAGAGACAACGAACCGGCTGGCAGAAATCGCGAGACTGAAGGGCAAGGCGGAAGTGACGTTTCTAAAATAGACCATAAACAAGCCAGTAACCAGTTGTAGAGCGGGCAGGAGGATCAGAAGGAGAAAGGAAGAACATCAGGGGACTGGTGAGGAAGAAGGACCAGGAGAGCAGCGTTGGAGGATACTGCACCAGAAAGAGTTGGAAGCTATTCGGACTGCACCGGAAGGAGAAGAGGACCATTTGGATGAAGGACAGGAAGCTGGGCAAGAGAGGACATCTCTATATTGGAGTACCATAGAGTATAACTGCGCCTGACATTTTTAGGAGGTCCGGAACTAAAACGTTGATTAGAAGCCAAAAAAAACATTGG